TTGAACATCTGTAAGATTGCATTTCACCATTCCAGCTTCTTTAACAAGTTAATGCAGGCATATTAATTTGCATTCACAATAAATGATATTATATTTAATGTCTCTTAAAATTGATGAATGACATAAACTCATCTTAAGAAAAATGACACCTAATGGTATCTAATACAATGATTAAGCCTTAAAAAATAATGGCTAGCAATAGGCTTAAAATCACATTTTCCCTTCAACCACAAATGCTCTATCATCAAAATAAATACATTACAAAAAATGATTTAAAACCATGATTGAAATAAAACTTAGTTTGAAACATTATAATTAGAGATTTATAACCACCATATAAACAAGATAATTTGATAAAGAAAGCTTTGCGGATTTTCATATTTAAAATCATGAATGGTGAAGTATAGCTTCTCATTTACTAGTTTTCTTAGCTTAAATGATTTTTTTTCTAAAGTCTAATTAAAATTCAGTTTTTTTAAAACCCCACAAGGGTTTTGATTTAAAACCTAAATTAAATGCAGAATTATAATGAACAATAAATTGAAGATAGAAAAAAAAAGTACAAGAAAATTCTAAAAGATAGTTGATTGTTTTATTTGACAATAGTCTGTCATACACTATTTTGGGGCACTCCCTTGATATTTATCCTGTTGGTTATCAGAAAAACTCAAAAGGGTTGTTAAACTCTAAGTAGGATTTAGTAAATCTTGTAACTACCAATTTAGTAAATCATGAGGTGTTTAAATATTGAAAATTTAATAGAACGACAGCTATTAGATATGTTAAATTTTCTAAAATTATTTGATAACTAATCATTGAAATACAAATGTAATGTTATATTGTATAGTCAAAAATAGCCTACATGGATTTCATGGCAAGTCAATAGTCGGATACCTCACTTTAGTAAATGGGCTAAGCTCTCTCCCTAAGCTACGCCATTTCAGTCCAGCGACCAAGTCTCTCCTTTGGCTAACCTTTCTTCAATGAATATCAGTTGGCCGAACTCATTAGACGGGCTACCACATCTCAGTCGCCAGACATTCTTCTATCACTCGGATAGCCCCGCTAAAACAATCATCATCTTAAAGAAATTCACATATAAGCCACTTAATTTCTTATGTATTGAATGTGTTCTTTTGATAAATATGATAAAACATAAAAAATTCATCTAGTTTATGCTGTCAATATACAAGAAAAATATAAAAATATATAAACTATTAGATACAGTTATAAAATAGACAAAAAGTGGAGCTGTAGGACCAAGGCAAAGAAACATGAACATGAAAGTCGGCATCGATCTCAAAACAATGCAACGATCGAAATAAAAAGGACCAAAATGTCATTTCCTTCTCTCTTTCAAAACAAGACCAATTATTTAATTTTTATATAATGTTTACCGCTCATATCTTCTATGAATAGAAGGACTTCATGATGTAAAATGGACTAGAGGGCACCCCTCACTTATAACATCTGATTTTATGGAATAAAAATGTATCCACGAGCTCGGGAACACCCCATTTCTCAACACGCCTAAAGACGGTGTAACAACGCGCCCCAAAGACAGTGTCAGGTTGTACTTTGAATATGATGTAAAAATGCAACATAAAGATGGTGTAACAATGCATCACGGGTACGGTGTAACACCTTGCAATAATAACTTACAACAGTCATACTCTGAGTGTAGTGACCTTCCCCAAAATCTTAAATATCTTCTCATAGCTTACGCAGCTCCCAACTCCAGCCTTTATGACCTACAAATATTATTACAGATCAGTACTACGACCTATGGGACCATCTACGACCTACGTTGCTCATAGGTAATGCAACTCCTAAATTTGGCCTCTATGACATACGAAAGTTATTGTAGCTCACTACCTTCTACGACCTAAGTGGTCTACAACTCATTAAGCTCCAAACTTTGGCCTTTATGGCCTACGGACATTATTGTAACTCATCGTTATCACCTATGTGACCAACTATGACTTAAGTGGTCTACATATCATGCAACTTCCAACTTTGTCTTCTATGCCCTATGGATGTTATTGCAACTCATCATTATAGTTTGCACGAACAACTATGGTTTATGTGGTTTAAAGCTCTTGCAACTCCTAATTCCAACTTTTATGGCTTGCGAACATTATTGCCGCTCACCACCATGACATATGTGACCAACTGCGGCTAACGTGGTCCAAAAGTCATGTAACTCCCAACTCTAACTTCTACGACCTACAGACGTTATTATAGTTCACCACCATGACCTACGAGACTTATTATGACTTGATTGTCCACAAATCACGCAACTCCCAACTCTAGCTTCTATGGCTTACGGATGTTATCACAGCTCTCCAATACGACTGATGTGACCAACTATAACCTACGTGGCTCAAAACTCCTGCAGCTCCATACTTGGACCTCAGTGGCCAACTGACTCCCTTGAAACAACCCTCTATGACCTACATGACCAACTACTATCACAACTTTCATCTATTGTCTCTACGACCAACTGACACTACAACCACCGTCTACAATATTCATGACAGGCTATTTCATTCATAACAATTGACTACAGTCTTTGTTGCCTGTTATAACTATTATTTTTGAACTATAGTTGTATATCAACATTATAATTTCATTTTATTTAATTCAAGAGGAGTGTGAGTTTATGTACTTACTTGCAATTGCATGGTGAGTTATTTCATCTAATCCTGACCCCATGGTTATTTTTCTTTTTTAGAGTTTTCACAAAAAAAAATCGATGTTTCTTCTTCTACATAAATTTTTTTGGTATGTATTGGATCTCTATCATTTGCTACGATGTTAAATTATTATTCTATCATCGTGAATCTTAAGACATGCATTAATATTATTCTAGTAATAAATAAATAAATAAAGATTTTTTTCATTCGACGAATTCAACCCAGCTGCAAAAGTAAGATTTTTCAAGGTGAAGTGCTGACTTTTGCTATATATATATATATATATAATATTGGTTTATTGTAGAATATTATGATGTATTTTCAATTAGAAGTTTTATTCGATGAAGCAGATATTTTTGCGTTTTATGTTCTACTATAAATTCTGTTATTTGAGTGGAAACTTGTGAAAAGAGATAATAAGCTCAAGTCCCACATTCTCCGACATTCTGTTATCTCTAACCGTTAATCCACTTTTTCCGTCACGTCTAATTCTTCTAACAAACTGCTAACCTGAAGCGGTATGCTCACTCTCGGAGTTGCCTTAGATGCTTCCAACGATCCTATAAAATTCGCCCATCCAATTTCTTGAAAAAGAAATTACCCTTTTCGAAAATTTATCTCCTTTGTTTCAAAATGCGACTCCATAACTTTATACATGCCACCAATTTTTGGGATAATTATATACACACCACCAAAAATATTAGTATTTACAAATAAATTATTTAAGTGATTTCTGTGAACTGCTCAAATGATATATTTACAAGTGGCACGATCAAATTATTTAGATTTTGATATAAAATGAAAATTAAGAGTTCAGATTTTATAATAAATTTTAATAGTTCAGTTAGAATTTGAAAATGGATGAAAGACAGGTTTAATCTGTAAATAACAAATTTGGGGTGGTTTGTATGTAATTGTCCCCTTCCACGTTTGAAGAGACGAACCCCACAGAACGTTGAGTATTTCCGCCTCGCCCTTCTTCCCTTTCCCTGTTCTTCTTCTTCCTCCCTGCTAAGCTTCTCTCCCACCCTATCGTGCTCGTCCAACGAAGCCCTTAAGAAGCCTTCCTTTTTTATTGCTTCCACGGATAATTTTCTGTTTGGAGCCGAATCGGTTTTCAAAAATGCTGTCTTCCGCAGGTTATGGAGTGACTGACGGGCGGCGGTTAGAGCTAGCCGGCGACGGGGAGATATCTAACCGTTAATCCACTTTTTTCCGGCACCTCTAATTCTTCTAACAAACTGCCAACCTAAAGCGGTATGCTCACTCTCGGAGTTGCCTTAGATGCTTCCAACGATCCTATAAAATTCGCCCATCCAGAAATTGCCCTTTTCGAAAATTTATCTCCTTTGTTTCCTGCCATCGTAAGGCCCAAATTAAATACATTAGCACGCACGCCTGGGAATCAAAATGCGAGACTCCGTAACTTTATATATTTCACCAATTTTTCGGATAATTACATACACACCACCAAAAATATTAGTATTTACAAATAAATTATTTAAGTGATTTTTGTGAACTGCTCAAATGATATATTTACAAGTGGCACGATCAAATTATTTAGATTTTGATATAAAATGAAAATTAAGAGTTCAGATTTTATAATAAATTTTAATAGTTCAGTTAGAATTTGAAAATGGATGAAAGACAGGTTTAATCTGTAAATAACAAATTTGGGGTGGTTTGTATGTAATTGTCCCCTTCCACGTTTGAAGAGACGAACCCCACAGAACGTTGAGTATTTCCGCCTCGCCCTTCTTCCCTTTCCCTGTTCTTCTTCTTCCTCCCTGCTAAGCTTCTCTCCCACCCTATCGTGCTCGTCCAACGAAGCCCTTAAGAAGCCTTCCTTTTTTATTGCTTCCACGGATAATTTTCTGTTTGGAGCCGAATCGGTTTTCAAAAATGCTGTCTTCCGCAGGTTATGGAGTGACTGACGGGCGGCGGTTAGAGCTAGCCGGCGACGGGGAGATAAGACCCAAACGCTCCCTTGCGAGACCGTCGCGTTTTCACGACTTTTTTTTTCCGACGATGAACTGGAGCGGTCAACGGTTTTTACGCGGTGAGAAACCCATCTCTGGGGGCAATGGTTCGGGTGATCGATCGACTGATCCGTATACCCAAATAGAGCCCCGAGGAGATAGAAAAGCTTCTTATTTTCCTGTTAGTGCTCTTCCCATGTCGTCTCACACTGGCGGGGAGAAGGAAACGGAGGCGGAGCAGGACAATGCCTCTTCTACCGCTGCAGAAGAGGCTGCTGCTGCACTGATGGCCTGTCCGTGGAATCCGAGGAAACGAAGAGCTGCGTGTCAAGCTCCATTGGAGAACGGAAGGAACAAGTACCATTGCTCATCACTTTCTAATCCGCCATTGGGTAAATCCGTTATGCGAAAATCCGCGGTCGGCGAAAATGGTCGGCGGAAGAAGTTTTCTATTTCGTTATTTCGAGCGGAGATCGAGGAGGACTTTTTGGTGTTCAAGGGGACGAAGCCCAGTCGAAGACCTAAAAAGAGATCCAAGGCCATCCAGAGGCAACTCGATGTAAGAGAAAATTTCATATTTTGAGCAGATAATTCTCATTCTTGATTATGGCAGTGGCAATTTCGATTGTATTTGGATTAATTTTGATCTCTAATTTTGAATTTATGTTCATTGTTGTAGGACTTATTTCCTGGCGTATGGTTGTCGGAGATTAATGCAAACATGTATAAAGTAGATTAATGAGTTGATTCTTCATTTATCTTTTTCATTGTTCTACCAGAAACTTTGAATCAATAAGAATAGGAAATAATCCTCTATCGAGAAGACGCAAGAGGAGGTATGGCATTCTGCATTGTTAGAGTGGATGTTCTTAAGAATTCTAAGATTTTGACTTTCCATAGTTATTGTTATTTTGTAGCTTCAGTTAGAATCGTTCTTTAGTTTATGACATTCGATTGTAAATTTTTTAATCAGAATATATGAGATTATAAATTGCAATTTTATCTTCTTTTACTTTTTATATGCATTTTATTCGTTAGTTTTGGACTCTCTTATTTAATTTTTATAAAATGATTTCATACTGCACTTCGACATATAAAAACTGACATTAGAGTTGTCATGACAGCAAAAAGATTTCAACTTGAAAAATGCTAGCCTAAAAAACCTCAAGTCTTTGTTTTATCATTTATATAAATGCTGAAAACGCAATGGGCTAAAAAATTGATTGAATGCTGAAAGCAGATAGACAGTAGCTATATGATGTTTTGCATATTCAACCTCAATATCAACAACTTTGTTTTCTGAGAGTCCTATCATACTGTTTTTACATGCACATTGTAATTTCAGCATTTAAGCAATCAAAGGCATGGGTTTTGAATTTTTTGGTGTAAGGTGGTTTTTCCTATTTAAGAGCTTTTAGTAGGAGGAATAATTGAAAAAATATTTATTTCTATATATTTGCACATTATGGCATGGAATCTTCTTTTATTATTTTAGTTCAATTATACTGATTGCATATTTTAAGTATGAAGGAATTGATAAGCATTCACATACGTTAAGATTTTCTATACGAAGTGCTTTTTTTTTGTACCAAATATTATTTTGATTAATGTTCTAATTAAAAAACATAGAAAAATTATAGCATTCTTTTCTGATAAGCAGTGTTTCTTCATTTAATTTGGTTAGAGAAGAAAATCAAGAATATCATGTTTTGTAGGAATATATGAATATTATAACTTTATCCATTAATACCCAAAAGTATAATACAATATTCTATGTACGGTATGTAAGCTAATTTTTTATTGATAATTAAAAGGTTTTGATTTTTAAGTCATGTACTAATGACTTATTTGATTGTTTTTTCTGTCATATCAAGTTCAATTATTGTAAATGTTTGAAATTAATTAGTAATTCAAAGTTAATGAATTATGCCTCTAAGTTATTTAGTATTTGAGTAAATCTCGTATTAAAGAATACTATGGTTCTTGGTTTTCTTTAATTGAATCGATTCTATATTTTTAATTGTTTCTACTGTTTTTAGTTTCTTTTTTGCTTGATCTAAATATGCAAATTGTCTGATTTGTTCTGATTTTTCACAAGTGTAAATTATTAAGATCAATGATCTTGATAATTCATCAGTAGAAGGAAACTTTTCCTCAAAATAGTTCATTTTCATGCAATTCACGGCTCAATGACCAACTATCGAAGGCATTTCATGTGCTAAGGAATGTACTTAATCCCTGCATAAATAGAAGTAAGGACAACTGCTAATGAATTAAATTCCATTATCGCCATTGATATCTCATGAATTTTCAGTTAAAATGGGACATATGGTCTAACTAAACAGATATGTTCTTAGAATGGTATTGATAGTGAGACAGATTAATTGGATAGTTGCATGCTTGTCAGTTGAACTTTGCTTAATGTACAGGCCCTTATGATTTAGTTTAAAACTGTTAACAAGTAAGATTGAGAAGTGACATCAACTATTCTACTATGAGAACAATAATAATAATCAGAATAGGGGCAAGGAAAGAAAGCAATATGCACTTTCTTTGTACATTGCTGTTAGCTTTCTCCAAAATGTTTCTAACGACTCTCTTATTTTGAACTTCTCATATTTATATTTCAGTTGTTCTGAAATTGATCATTTCACGTTGAAGGGTTTATACTGTCATTTCCAAGAGGGATATTTGCATTTCCCATTTATATTGGGTGATTACAGATAGAGGAAGGAGTTTTTGATGTAATTTTCTCTTGTTGCATTAGTAGCTATTGATTTAATTGACATAAGTACTATTTTCTATTTGACATGCACCAATGAGTTAGGATCGTAGCCACTATAGGAATTTTCTTGTGAATGTAAAGATGCATTTTACATGAATTATTTCTGAATTAATTTGAACTCAGATGAGCAGTTACATGTTGCTATCTGTTTGACAATGGCAATTAGCATTTGCAAAATAAGTTTTTTTATGAACTAAGAATTAAATTCTTGTTGCAGATTGTTGAAACTCCCATTGCCGTGCTACTAAGTTTTTCCCAGCAAAGGCTTCATTAGCTTATTTTTATTTTTTAGGTTTTCTAGAGATTATCTTTATTGCTTAAAAAAAAAACAATCTGCAGATCTCTCATTTACTTGAATGTCTACAAAAGATATATACACAAGGTATAATTATGATGGTGTTGTTATAGATGTGAGAGCAATAAACTAAGCACAGTATTTAATATTTTAACAAATAAGCATATAAACATTCAGCATTACTATCACCATAGTTATTTTAAAACAAGATATGAGTATCGGCACAAGTCTCTAGTTATGATCAGAAGATTCAATTTTGTTAAAATCATACTTTAGAAGCACAATGAAGTGATCTGTTAGCTGTCCATTACTTGCTAGTGATGCCCAAACTTGCAATAATGCGTGCACATTTACATGCTCTTCTATCACATCATATTGTTGTATGCTTGGCTCTGGTTCAAATTTCTTGATTTGGTTTAAGATCGGTCTCGGCCATTAGGGCGCAAATGCTTACTTGTTCTTGTTGATTCTATAATTATTGAGTTGTTATTGATTGGTTCTCTGTTCTCTCCCCGTTGGAGCCAGTTGCTTTTATATGGTTCTCCCTTATAAGCTTTCTCAAATTTGATTTTCTTAGATGTTGTTTTACTGATTTTTGTTATTGGTATCAGTGGCCACATGCTCGCAGGAATATCTTTTTATGTATGCTCTACATTCTTTTTGCTCAAAATAAAAGAATCATTAGAAACATTTTTGAGAAAGAAACATTTTTGAGAAAGCTAACTGCAATGTACTAAGAAAGAGTATATTTCTTTCTTTCCTTGCCCCTATTCTGATTATTATTCTTATTCTCATAGTAGAATAGTTGATGTCACTTCTCAATCTCACTTGTTAAAAGTTTTTAAACTAAATCATAAGTGGCCTGCACATTAAGCAAAGTTCAACTGACAAGCGGGCAACCGTCCAATTAATTTGCCTCACTATCAATACCATTCTAAGGACAAATCCGTTTAGTTAGACCATATGTCTTATTTTAACTGAAAATTCATGAGATATCAACGATGAAGATGCAATTTAATTCATTGGCAGTTTTTTTTATTTCCATTTATGTAAGGATTAAGTACATGCCTTGCACATGAAATGTCTTCGATAGTTGGTCATTGAGCTGTGCATTGCACAAAAATGAACTATTTTGTACTTCTAATGAATTATCAAGATCATTGATCTTAATAATTTACACTTATGAAAAAGCAGAACAACTCATACAATTTGCATATTTAGATCAAGCAAAAAAACAAATAGAAACAGTAGGAACAATTAAAATTATAGAATCGATTCAACTAGAAAAAACCAAGAACCATACTATTCTTCAGTACGAGTTTTGCTAAAAAAACTACATAACTTGGAGGACATAATTCAAAAACATTGAATTACTAATTAATTTCAAACATTTAAAATAATTGAACTTAATATGATAGTAAAAACAATCCAATAAATCATTAATAAATGGCTTCAAATTCGAAACCTTTTAATTATCAATAAAAAATTGTCCTACTTACCGTACATAGAATATTGTATTATACTTTTGGGTGTTATAATGGATATCGTTATAACATTCATATATCCTACAAAACATGGTATTCTTGATTTTCTTCTCAAATCAAATTAAATGAAAAAAAATTACTTATCAGAAAAGAACGCTATAAGTTATCTATGTTTCTTACTTAGAACATTATTCAAAATAGTATTCGATACAAAAGGAGGTCATTTATTAGGCAGCTCGAGTCTAAACTTCGTATAAAAAAACTTAATGTATGTGGATACTTATCAATACCTTCATACTTCAAAAATGCAATCAATATAATTGAACCAAAATAATAAAAGAAGATTCCATGCCATAATGTGCAAATATATAGAAATAAATCTTTTTTCAATTATTGCTCCTACTACATGCTCTGAAATAGGAAAAGCCACCTTACACCAAAAAGTCCAAAACCCATGCCTTTGTTTGCATAAATGTGCAATTTGAATTTCACAGGAATAGAGGATTGGATGCCGGTTGAGATGATATGAATCTCATGGGAGTGGAATCTCACATGAACAAGGGCGCTGGAGGTTCTCGCGGGAGACAGGAATAAAAACCGCTCTCACACCAGAGGTTTCTCTCGGTATTTTCTGCAAGGAAAGGAAATCAGGTGGAGGCAGTGGCTCCTAGAACCGGTAGAGGAGGCTGGGGGCTGTTGGATCTAAATTTAGGCTTTGATACCGTGTTAGAATAGAGACCAACATACATCTTATTAATACAGAGAGGGGTAGATATACCCATTACAGGAACAACTAGAAAGAAAAAAAAATAAACCATTAAAATATAACATATACATCTTTAATTGTCTATTGAACAATGATTATTGTTTGCTTGTTTAAATTTCCTTCTCATGTCTTAATATGATAGAATTCCCTTTTAACACGACATGATACATCAATATTATCATTGGTTCACTTAAAAACCCTCCAAGGAGCTTTCTCAATCCATAGAATCATATGTATTTGTAAGGTCATTGAAAATGTTTTGAACAATCCATCCAAGACTACATTGCAGAATTTTAATGGCTCATTTTAATTGCGGTCATTGATCGGCCGATGAAGGCCATAGCCACGGACGTGACGACCCTCCTTTAGACCAACCAAATGGGTTTTGATCATAGAAGTTAATCCAAATAAAAATATAAACCTAACTAAAATTGC